TGATCTGGAAAGTTTTGGTTGATTTTATATGGGTCAACTTGTAGGATTTTTAACCAGGTTAACTCAGGAATGATTATTTGTTCCTTTTGTTTGTCTGAATGTTATTAATCACTCATATAATCTATTCATATCCTTTTTGACTGGTTTAATTCATTAAGTGCATCATAATGAATTTGCAATAAAATGTTTATTTTATATATACACGCAAAAAAAAAACAATTATATCTAAATATAAGATTTGATATATATATATATATATATATATATATACAAATCTGCAATGTCAAAGTTTATCAAGTGTAGCACTACAAGGATTCACTGTCTTTGTCGAGTCGCTTCAGCACTTCACTTTTTGCATTCTGGGAGCTAAAATTTATGGTCATCAATGATACAAGAATAAAGTTTTAATTTGCTAAAAGCATCTGCCTTCTCTTTCGTGTGAATCTGAGGTTGATTTGATGTACTGAGATGCACATGCACGACTCGACCTTTTTCAGTCATGGAAATGAATGGACATCTATACGGAGTTAAAAACAACTGAAACTCTTGATCAAATGTCAATTTCAACAACTGATCAGTGAAAGGAGGCGTTTAACCTTTGGGAAATGTATCTCATCAGCCTCAAACTCACTATTTCATGAGCTTTGTTTTCTCTTTATTTTATATGAGGTTTGCCATTTTTGTCTAAATGCAGTTTTATACCCTGGTTTGTCATGGTTTTGCAATTAAAATAAGACAAACGTGACAATTAAATAAGATTCATGAAAAAGCGGGCCAGTTTGGGTAACAGGGTTGTAAATTTAGTCTAAATTAAGCCCATTCAGTCAGGACTAACTCAAATGTTGATATTTAATTATTGATAACTTTATAAGGAAAACATATTTGATCTTTTCCCTAAATATCTGAGTTTTAAAAAGCAGCCAGCACTACAATTGTCATGTAAGAATAAATCAATAAAAACTGAATGAGGTTATTTACTTACTTTCCCCATGGTTTTTACCATTCACTAAAACATAAAAATTATTTTTGTTACATGAAATAAAAAATAAATAAATAAATATACACTGATTTTATAGCTATACTCTCCAAGGCAACATTTCTCATTTTCATTTAGTTTAAGTAAAGTACTAAAATAACTAAAACTAAATCAACTAAAACTTAATTAAAAAAATATATGTTTAGATATATTAAATAAAAAAAAACTATAAAGTTACTAAAGCTTGAACTAAAATTAAAATGATAAAAATATCAAAATCAAATTCAAAATCTATACAAAAACAATAATAGTATATAAATTATACTAAACACTAAATATACAACTTTATGTCGAAACTATAATCTTCTTTCATGATTTAAGTCTAGAAACTCAAGACTTGTGAGGTGGGACAAGCTAAAATCTCCAATTTTATGGGAAGTATAGTCATTTGATATGTTTAAAACTACCTACAATTCTATTAGATACATTTTTTATGCTTTACATTAATATATAAAAAACAATACCTAATGGTTTTCATTTTTTAAAGAAACATTGGATTGTGCATTTAATGCTGCTAAACACATTACAACTGCTCATGGAAACAGAATAATTTCATATTTTGATTTAAAACTGTGAACACAAAAATAAATCACCCAGACTCTGCATCTCTTTAACATTCATAATCCTGATGTGTTTCAGAGTAATGCCAGACTCGCCAGAGAAGTTCAAGCGAGGGAAATTGGTCTAGACCACACAGCAGCGCTTCTGGCCGCGTTAGTGTTTATTTATTCTTGTTTGGATGCTGTTAAATTGCTGTGACTCAGCGGCTTGTCATCTCGTCTGCTCTAGAGAAGCAGAGAACCGAAACTTGATGTGGCTGCTGAGATTAATGTGACTTATTTGCATCAAGATATGCCTATTTGCCCCAGATTGTTCTTGAGTGCTGAGATAAGTGTCTCTCTATGATATTTAGATCCCATTACTGAGATATTCAAACGATGAATCAGACCGTTACTAAAATGAAAGTCTGCATATAGAGAGTATTTTATGCCTCATATTGAGCGTTTGGGAAACATTTTCAATTCATGCCCAGCGGGAAACCCTTTCCGGCAGACATCGTTCATTTCAGTGTTTTATAGGAATAGTTGAAAAATGAAAATGTGCTCACCCTCAGGCCATCAAAGATGTAGATGAGTTTGTTTCTTCAACAGATCTGGAGAAATGTAGCATCAATGGATGCTCTGCAGTGAATGGGTGCCGTCAGAATGAGAGTCCAAACAGCTGATAAAAACATCACAATAATCCACAAGTAATCCACACCACTCCAGTCCATCAGTTAACATCTGGAGAAGACAAAAGCTGCATGTTTGTAAGAAACAAATCCATTTTTAATTTCAAACCGTCGCTTCCAGCTAAAATACGAGACCATAATCCACAATAATGCGTCCTTCAGTGATAAAGTGCATCTCCTGTTGTTTCTCGCATCAAAATCCACCAGTGCATTTGTTCAGAGCTGTTTTGGCTTGTAAACAATGCTTGATCTGTGATTATTTCTCTCCTGATTCAGACCACATGACTTTTTGAATGGTGGAAGCGTTATTATGGATTATGGACTCGTATTTTAGCCAGAAGCAATGGTTTGAAGTCTTAATGATGGATTTGTTTCTTTTGTCTTCAGATGTGAACTGATGGACTGGAGTGGTGTGGATTACTTGTGGAGTATTGTGATGTTTTTATCAGCTGTTTGGACTCTCATTCTGACGGCACCCATTCACTGCAGAGCATCCATTGGTGAGCAAGTGATACAATGCTACATTTCTCCAAATCTGATGAAGAAACAAACTCATCTACATCTTGGATGGTCTGAGGGTGAGTACATTTTCAGCTATTTTTTTTTTTTTTGTGTGTGTGAACTATTCCTTTAAGGGTCGATTTAGCATCACTTTTTGAGTTTGAGCATTGCTATTTTTTTCACTGTCTACCAAACACATTTCATTCATAATGTCAGAGAGCAAACAAACTGACTTGTGCATATGAAAAAGTTCAGAAAGTGAAGATCTACTCCACTCTCCAAAATATCATATTTGCAATCAAAGCATCATTTTATTGTGGTGAGGTTTTGTAGAGCAGGTCATTTCCAAAGAGCATATTCATCTGAATTAAGCATCCTGTGCTGGAAATAAGCTTAGATTTCCCTTTAGAAATGGCCTGTAAACAGCCGCCCCGTGAGACCTGAACAATCAGCACCGAATGGAAATTTTCTGCTGCCGGTTGCACTATACTTTATTTTTGTTCTTGACCTTTCCTTTAACTAACTTTGTTTCTGCTGTGGTTGGTTGTTTTTTTCTTAATGAAAAACACCTGATTAATCGGGACCATTCATCTTGTTTTGTTGCAGGAAAACTGCTCTCTGTCTCTGTCCGGTTTGACTGGAAAATCTGTTGAATTTCTGTATTGATCGCTACCTTGATTTGGTGTTGCTTATACGCTGTAAATTTGTGAATCGTATGGCTTAGCTAAACCAGTTAAATCTAGACAAAGTGCCAGAGGAGTGATTAAACATTGTACAGGCCCTTCTCGCAATAAGCAATGCAGTGGATTAGACTTTTAAAACTTTGTTTTATTTAAACTTTTAAGATTATAGTTTGATGAAGATGTCATATAAGGCACACAGTGCTGATTTAACCAATCTGTGAACACTTCCTGAGTTTTGCTGTCATCTGATTGGCTGATATGGCTTTGAAGGGCGGGATTTTGAAGGGAAGTTAGCAAAATGTAGTTCAGGGGCCCGTTTCAGAAAGGAGGTTAAGTGAAAACTCTGAGTATGTTAACCCTGAAATGAGAGAAACTCTGGGTTTTCCATTTCAGAATGGGAGGTATGTCAAACTCGAGAAAGCAGGGTAAGTCAAGCCCGTTCTGAAAGGGAGGTAACTTATACTCAGAGTCAGTTACCATGGTAACTACCATGAACCTAACCTGGTCAGGAGCAGGTTTTCTTTCGGTCTCCTCCCCCTTTTTAAAGCGCAAGCGGTGTTAAATACTTCATTCATTCATGCATGCTGCAAAAATGCTTTTCTTACTAAGTATTTTTTGGTATTTCAAGTACAAATATCTAAAAATCCTTACATCAAGATTAATTTTCTATATAAAAAATGATATAAGATATTTGTTTCCTGGGGGGATCTAAATTAAGTGCAGTTTACTTAAGTAAAATTATCTGCCAGTGTGGTATTAAATATAATGCAAATGGAAAACAAGATTATTCGGAGTGTCTATTACTAAGTGCAAAGTGTTTAATAATGATAAAAGTATTTATCATTTTAAAGTGAAAAGTGACGTGACACGTGTGGCCAAGTATGGTGACCCTGTGCTCTGTATTTATCCCATCCAAAGTGCACACACACAGCAGTGAACACACACACACCGTGAACACACACCCGGAGCAGTGGGCAGCCATTTTTTTGCTGCGGCACCCGGGGAGCAGTTGGGGGTTTGGTGCCTTGCTCAAGGACACCTCAGTCGTGGTATTGAAGGTGGGAGAGAGCGCTGTACATTCACTCCCCCCACCTACAATCCCTGCCGGTACGAGACTCGAACCCGCAACCTTTACGAGTCTGACTCTCTAACCATTAGGCCACAACTTCCCCTTCCTATATTTAATATATAACATTTACACTCTATTATTGCATCCTGTTAATATACAACAATACTGAGGTGCAAATAGTATGTATCTGCCAGTATAAAGTATAAAAAGCATCTAATTATTATTTACACTTACTGCAAAGAACTGCTACTTTTACATGATAAATAGAATATATCACTATTTTCACTGTGTAAATAGCATCTAGAGCTATTTGCACTTAGCCTACTGTAAATAGGATCTATTGCTAAGAAAATAGGCGTATGCTAATTCCACTTGACTTAGTGTAAATAGCCGCTGCTGTATTTTCTTACCCTATTGGCAGATCATTTGTAAAATAAGAAAAATGCACTTAAATTATTATTATTATTATTATTTTATATATTTTTTTGCACGTGGGATTCCATGAAAATGAATAGCCTATTAGTTCAATAACCTACCGTTCTGCCAGTTCTAATTATTATTTACACTTACTGCAAAGAACTGCTACTTTTACATGATAAATAGAATATATCACTATTTTCACTGTGTAAATAGCATCTAGAGCTATTTGCACTTAGCCTACTGTAAATAGGATCTATTGCTAAGAAAATAGGCGTATGCTAATTCCACTTGACTTAGTGTAAATAGCCGCTGCTGTATTTTCTTACCCTATTGGCAGATCATTTGTAAAATAAGAAAAATGCACTTAAGTTATTATTATTATTTAATTTTTTTGCCCGTGGGATACCATGATAATGAATAGCCTATTAGTTCAATAACCTACCGTTCTGCCAGTTTTCACCTGTGATATTATAACAGTGATAAGAATTGAACTTGTATTGACTCTGAGGTATGCAGACGTCTTTTTGTCGGGTGCTGTTGCCATGGTGAATCATAATATCGGAGCATTGATCATGGCTTTTCATAGTCGTGGTGCACCAGAGTTGATTGAACTAACTTAATTCAGCTGTTCTGAAACCGAAAACTCAGAGTTTCCCCATCTCAGAGTAAGTCAACTCAGAGTTCAAGTTTTAACTCAGAGTTGGTTGAACCTCCTTATTGAAATGGACCCCTGTTTATAACTTTAAAAAAATATATATAGATATATACGGGCCCCAGGTGATTGACTCAAAACAATCTAAAGTAACCTGAGTAACTATGGCGGATGTCAAATAATGTAGGCTACGTTCTGCACCAGCTGAGCAATGTCCACTGAGATGAATGGGAATAGATTGAGAACTGCAGGCATTATGCATCAGCGAAACGGTTGAAATCACTTGACTTTGTACCTTTGAGTTAATTTGCATACTGAATTATGAGTGTCTTGCATCTGTTTAACCTGTTGGCCTTCCACTGTACCACCTGCAGTACACCGCGTGTTTTTGAGGGTTAACTTCATGACATACAACAACTCAAAAAACAAACAAAATAAAACATGTCACATATCTTTGGAAAGCTGAGATTCTTGTGATTGATGCAAGATACAATCAACACAGCAGGTACAATCAGTGTCTTTGTCAGACCGCCAACAAGGCTTCATGCTGTGATCCCATTGTGTTTTCCAGCTAATAGCTCCCAGCTATAGTTATCTGCAGGCATCTGTTTACAAAAAATAAAAATAAAAAATATATAGGCGGAATGTTTTATTCAGTTTTCAGTGTGTTCAAAGTTATATTTCTCAATACCAGTAAGACTTACAGTTCTGTTTATGAACAAACCTCAGTGTCACCTTTCAAAAGAGACCATGCATATACTCCAAATGGTTAAAGAACAGCATGCAATTTACTTCTGGTATGCCTTTTTTAGGAGTTTTAGTCAAATTTTACAGGAATGCTAAGGGGTTAACCATCTAGTCAGGCTAGATTTAATGTTTTGCAGAAGAAAACAAGGCTGTAAGTCCTAAATGCCTGTGGATAATTATCAAGCACAGCATGTTTTTCAAAGTCGTTTGTCACTAGAAAATGTTTCAGACAGCTAGCTATATTTTCAATCAGTGTCAATCATTAAGATGACGCTCCTTGCATCTTAAGCTGAAATCAGGAAAGGTGTCAGAGTTGCCTTGGCAACAGAAAAGCGGCTCTAATGCCGCACTTACGGTGTAATGCCGGATTTGCGAACGAATCGTTCTTAAAAACTGATATGAATATTTTTAATAAATCGGTGGAACTGATGCTTTTGCAGATCGCCACGAGAGTAAATCAACATTGTTAACATTATTACCATAATCGCTATTAATAATTAACATTATTATGCTGGAAAAAAAATGTGTAGAAACAATTTCCACTCAGAAATCGCTAGATTTCACAGTTATAGAGAAACGCAAGTAACACACTGAATTAAACATGACATTTTGAATTAGAAATAGCCTACTTAAATAGTTTTTCACTTTAAACATGAAATATTATTTACGTAAAAACGTTTATTGTATGAATACATATTAAATGTAGATATAGCAATAATTTGGACGATAAACAAACTGTTCTACATAACCTAACATAATAACGAAAACATAATGGTTAAACTCCAAGTTTGCTATAAAATTAAATGTTCTGGGAACGCTTTTTGTGAATCGGGTTTTTGAATCGGTTCATCGAAGCCGATTTGCTTAAATTATTTTTTTTTATGAATCGGTCGAACTGATACTCCTTTGCAGATCGCCACTAGAGTAAATCAACATTGTTAACATTATTACCATAATTGCTATTAATAATTCACATTTTTATGCTGGGAATAAATGTGTAGAAAGAAACAATTTCCACTCAGAAATCGCTAAATTTCACAATTAGTAGAGAAACGCAAGTAACACACTGAATTAAACATGAAATTTTGAATTAGAAATAGACTACTGAAATAGTATTTAACTTTAAACGTGAAATGCTATTTATGTAAAACGTTTTATTTACAACATCGATGTTTTTATAATACAGATGAAACGAATATAACAATAATTTCAACGATAAAAAAAAAACATTTCTACATAACCTAACATAATAAAGAAAACATAAGCCTAATGATTAAACTGCAAGTTTGCTACAAAAATTAAATGTTCTGTTGGGAATGCTTTTTGCGTTTCGGGTTTTTGAATCGGTTTATCGAACGCCGATTCGCTATGAATCGGGCTTCTGAACCACGTACAACGCCACATGAAACGTAGCACTGATATTTCCCTTTGTAAATACAAATGTAGCTATTTAATGGAGTAGAAACCCCGTTCTCCAGGCTTGCTACCCAAACCTGCCACACGGTGGTTGTGTCGGCTCGCTCTTGCGCTCGTTAATGACTCGCTCCCCCTCACTGCTGCTGCTGCTGATCAAAGGCGTTTGCAGCAGACCGCCCAGGATAGTCGTAGAGTCACAGAGCTCTGTTTCGCTTTCTGTCTGCGGATCATAACGGTCTCATATCAAGGCGTTTACATCACGAAACTATCCCGCAGCGATCGGCGTTTATTTTCATCCGTCCTTCTCTGGTGATAAAACCAGGCGAGCGCAGAAGAGAACGCGCAGTAATGGGAAGACGCGGCATGTTTTCATTAGGTTACATTTCCGAAGAATGATCCATCCATCTGTCGATCACATTTTACGAGCACAAACATCCTTCTTCATGCATTGGACGTAGACTTTCGGAGCACAGAAGAGTTTTGAGCATGCACGGCGCTTAAACAGAGGAAACCAACAGTTTTTACAAACAATTTCGGCGTCTCGTCGCTTCGCTGACACTCTTGATTTGATCTCTGGATGTATTTTTGCTGCTCTTGTGTCCTGCAGTGATGTGCACCGTGCCAAACGCGCGTAGATGTTATGAAATAACACAAGATGTTGCAGTTTTGGGGGTTTTCAGCTGAGATGTGTCTTATTTCATTCGCTAAACTTCAGTGTTGCCCTGTTTGGCCATGAGTCTTCAGCAGCAGCATCATTAGAAAGCAGTTGTGTGTGAGCACGTTGATGCTTGCGTTTTAATATGCGTGAATGTGATGCTTTCTCTTTTTAAAGTGCATTTCCGTTCATAGCGCTTCAGTTTAGTCTTCTAGTTGAGCATCATTTTCAGACATCTGTATGTTTGTAGGGACGTAGCTTGTATTGTGTTTGATGTGTGATCCATGTTGGCTGTGCATGGCATTATAGGCCACTTTAATGCTGCTTTAACTTTTTAGGTTCATAAAGCGTCATCTTCGGTGCAGGCATTTGCTTGCCTAATAAGATGTTTGATATGCATTAATGACACATGTTGGCTGTGCATATTTTAGACTACACAAATGCTGCTTTACCTTTTTAAAGTGCATTTATGTGCATAAACGCATAATTTCGCCTACCAGTTGAGCATCATTGTCATTTTCTGAAAGCAGTGTTTACTGGCACTTTGCTTGCTTTTAAGGCGTTTCAATATGCATTGATGCGATGACTTTTGGCTGTGCGTGTTATTATATGCTGCTTTAACTTAATGTAGCAGCTACATTTAAGTCCATATAGTTACAATTTCGTGTCCTGTATGGGCATTAACAGTGTGTAGATTGTTTTGGCTGAGCTTAACATTTTGTTGCTTTGGCATTTTAAGACCTTGAAATCTCATTTCGGTCTCCCAGATGTTGCATGACTGCTCTGAAACTAAAGGAAGCTGGTTTTGAAGCAGTGAGCGCGCACTGATGCGCAATGACGCTGTTGTTGTGCGCAAATGTGTTGACGCCACATGTGGTCTCTTAAATCGATTGTTTCAGGAAGGTTTAGTCACTTTGACCAGGAGAGAGTTCAGTTTGCACAGCAGCCGTGTTGCTTGCGCTTTCTAACCAAGTTTAGGTGTGTATCCTCGTGCGTAACGCGTAAGTGGAGAGTTTAAATGGTGCTCCTAAAGTTACCCGGTGTCTCCGCATCGGCCATGGGGCTTCGTCTGTCTCAGAAATTCGTGTTTCTGCTGTTCCTGTCGGGGTTGGTTACTCTGTGCTTCGGGGCACTTTTCTTTCTACCCGACAGCGTGCGCCTGAAGCGCATTTTTCTCTCCAAGAACGAGAATCCCGCGGTGACCGTGGGCTCCGACAATGAGCTTGCCAAAAAGGTGCCCGGGGATCCAGAGCATCAGCGGGTGGGTTTAAAAGGGGGCGAGGGGTCGAATGTCAAACTGAAAGTGAGCCGCAAGCCCTCGGTCACCCATGGAGCGAGAACCGTGGAGAGATCTGTTGGGAGTAGAGCGCAGGACGAGTGGAGTCCGGCGAAGGCGCACGAACCGGCGGCCAGGGACGAGCGGGTCACCTCGGCCGCACATAACGGGCAACGCGGGAGCGTTTACAGCTATGAGACGTTTAAAAAGTGTCTGCTGAAACCACCTTTGGGGAAGAACAAGGGAACTCCATCGGATTCCGAGACGCTTCAGCGGAGGGAGAAAGTCAAAGAGGTGAGATGATGGCTCTCATTATTGTCTACTGTGAATGGAAGCCCATTTCTGATACATAAGCCTTGGTAAATCATGAGATATGAAGTCATAGTTATGAGATAAAAGGCGGAATTATGACATAAGTTATAAATTATGACATGCCAAGTCATAATTATGAGATAAAAGGTCGAAATTATGACATACTGTCATCACTGTGAGATGATAAAGCGAAAAAAAGACACAAAACATCATATTTATGTGATTATGAAGGCGGAATTATTATATAAAAAGTTATAAATTATGACTAAGTCATAATTGTGGCATAAAAAGGCGAAATTATGACATGCAATAACTGTGAGATAAGAAGTCGAAACTGTGACATACTGTACCATAATTATGAGATAAAAAGTTGGAATTATCACAAAGTGTTATAAATTATCACATAGTAAGTCATAAATATGAGATAAA